GGACTTCCGCGGACCATGCGCCAACGATTCTGACATCCTGCTACTCTGAGACAGATGGAGAGCATGCTTTTCTCTGAATAGGGCTACCCTGAGCTTCGTTCAAGTGGAGGGAGTATCCTCCACAACAGACGCCCTCGTCTGACCCGGCGGGCAGACTGGCCGCTCGTCATTCAAGGGGGGACGCCCGCAGTGGAACTGACGTGTATGTACTTATGTGGAGTAGATTTGCGACTGGAGGGTGATTTGCAGAATCGGTTGATGCATTTCGAGTTGACTCTGGTCCTCCTCACCCTCCTCCTCATCAGTCCTTCACTCGGCGGCGCGCCCAGGGGGGAAGCAAGACGGCGCGGGCCTTCTCAGACGGCTCGGAAAGCTCCCAACCATCTGACAAGTTTGCTAAGCCTTCACCGGAGACACGGGGACATCTCAAAGGCTGGAGGCCTCCTGAGAACCCCCGCAGCCTCCTGAGAACTGAGCAGGCCCCGCCGTGCTCTCCTCCGCCAAGCTCACCGCTCGCAGGCGATTTCCCCCCCCCCCCCGACTTTCCGACAAAACATTTAGCCTGGCGAAAGACCCAACCATACGCAGTTGTGAGTGCCGCAATTGTGAATACCATCTTCGCCCGCGCTCCCTATGGCCACGGCTTCCCGCCGGAGCCCGACATGCTCAGGGACACGTTCGGGGCCATCTTCGCAGGCGCAGACGACGACGAGGACGGCGTCCCCCTGACCGAGGAGCAGAAGAGGGAGAGGGCTCTGAGAGCCATGAGGGAGGCTGACACTGGGGCCTTCGGTGGAGCTCCTGTGACGCCACGATCGTCGTGAGAGGTGTGCCGGAATGGCCCGAGGCCGCCATGCAAACCCTGCCACTGGGGCCTTCGGTGGAGCTCCTCACGGGGCCACGATCCTCGTGAGGGGTGTGCCGAAATTGCCCGCGGCCGCCATGCGAACCCTGCCACTGGGGCCTTCGGTGGAGCCCCCTATGGGGCCACGATCCTTGTGATGGGGTTGCCGAAATGGCCCGAGGCCGCCATGCGAACCCTGCCACTGGGGCATTCGGTGGAGCCCCCACTGGGGCCACGATCGTCGTGATGGGTGTGCCGAAATGGCCCGAGGCCGCCATGCGAACCCTGCCACTGGGGCCTTCGGTGAAGCTCCCTATGGGGCCACGATCCTCCTGAGGGGTGTGCCGAAATGGCCCGAGGCCGCCATGCGAACCCTGCCAATTTGGCCTTCGCTGGCGCCTGCCCCATATGGGGCCACGATCCTCGTGATGGGTGTGCCGAAATGGCCCGAGGCCGCCGTGCAAACCCGGCCACCAGCGCCTTCGGCGGAGCTCCCTATGGGGCCACGATCCTCGTGATGGGTGTGCCGAAAAGCCCCGAGGCCGTCATGCGAACCCTGCCACTGGGGCCTTCGGTGGAGCCCACTATGGGGCCACGATCCTTGTGATGGGTGTGCCGAAATGGCCCGAGGCCGCCATGCGAACCCTGCCACTGGGGCATTCGGTGGAGCCCCCACTGGGGCCACGATCGTCGTGAGGGGTGTGCCGAAATGGCCCGAGGCCGCCATGCGAACCGTGCCATTGGCGCCTTCGGTGGAGCTCCTGCGGGGCCACGATCCTCGTGAGGGGTGTGCCGACATGGCCCGAGGCCGCCGTGCAAACCCTGCCACTGGCGCCTTCGGTGGAGCTCCGCATGGGGCCACGAAACTCGTGAGGGGTGTGCCGAAATGACCCGAGGCCGCCATGCGAACCGTGCCACTGGCGCCGTCGGTGGAGCTCCTATGGGGCCACGGTCCTTGTGAGGGCCGCCATGCGGACCCTGCCACTGGCGCCTTCGGTGGAGCTCCGTATGGGGCCGCGATCCTCGTGAGGGGTGTGCCGACATGGCCCGAGGCCGCCATGCGAACCCTGCCACTGGGGCCTTCGGTGGAGCTCCCTGTGGGGTCACGAGCTGTTCTGGGTGGGTGAAGCGCAGGGAGGAGTGGGAGGAGGGAGGGGGAGAAGGAGAGGAGGAGGAAGAGGATGAGGAGGAGGAGGAGGAGGAGGAGGAGGAGAGGAACGCGGGGCACCGTCTCTTCAAAACGAGGACCCAACTCCACAGGATGGTTGGGAATGAAACCGTTAAAAACAGGAGGGAAAAAATCGGATACACCCCAAGGGGGCCCCATCAAGGATGGACGCCCCCTCACATTGTATATCCCAGGGTTGGGTCCCAAATTTCCGGTCCATTCGGAAACCATGCGAAAGCCTTTTTTCCTTCTCGTTTCCCCCCCCTCGCTCGCCGCCGATTCACGCTACGCCCCCCTCACTTCAGAGTGGTGTGGAAAGGTGGGCGCATTTGGGGCCAGGCTCGACGCCAGCAACCTCCCGAACCTCGGCGCCAAGAGACTTTCCCTCGAGGTCCTCCTCCTCCTCTTCCTCCTCCTCCTCCTCCTTCCCCCCATCCTCCCCCCGCTCGTCCCTCCTCCCCCTCCTCCATCTTCTCCTCCCCTCCTCCTCCTCATCCCCCTCCTCCTCCTCCTCCCCCTCCTCCTCCTCCTCCTCCTCCTCATCCTCCTCCTCCTCCCCCTTTCCTTCTCCATATAAATAATAAACAACTTTGCCCTGTCGCACAACGAGGCCAGTGTTTAGGACGGGCCAGGCGTTTCGCCTGAGACTTCCTCACCACTTATGATTCTGAAGCTTAACAAGCGACACCAAATTCACAAGTGGAGGGCGGGCGGTTTTCAAAACATGGCTCTCGCCTTAGCGCCGCGCACATTCATTTAAATATTTACACAAGCTTCACGGATTGAGGGCGGGTCGTGATCAAAATGTGCCTCTCGCCGTAGCGCCGCGCACACTCGTTCTAATTTGCCTGGCGAAGGACCCAACCATACGCAGTTGTGAATGCCGCGAACGTGAATGCCGCAAACGTGAATACCATCTTCGCCCGCGCTCCCGATGTGGCCACGGCTTCCCGCCAGAGCCCGACATGCTCAGGGACGCGTTCGTGGCCGTCTTCGCGGACGCCGGCGACGACGAGGACGGCGTCCCCCTGACCGAGGAGCAGAAGCATGAGAGAGCTCTGAGAGCCACGAGGGAGGCTGCCACTGGCGCCTTCGGTGGAGCTCCTATGAGCACACGTTCCTCCTGAGGGGTGTACCGAAATGTCCCGAGGCCGCCATGCGAACCCTGCCACTGGGGCCTTCGGTGGAGCTCCCTATGGGGCCACGATCCTCGTGAGGGGTGTGCCGAAATTGGCCCGAGGCCGCCATGCGAACCCTGCCACTGGGGGCTTCGGTGGAGCTCCCATGGGGCCACGATCCTCGTGAGGGGTGTGCCGAAATGGCCCGAGGCCGCCATGCGAATCCTGCCACTGGGGCCTTCGATGAAGCTCCTATGGGGCCACGATCCGTGTGAGGGGTGTGCCGAAATGGCCCGAGGCCGCCATGCGAACCCTGCCAGTGGCGCCTTCGGTGGAGCTCCGATGGAGCCACGATCCTCGTGAGGGGTGTGCCGAAATGGCCCGAGGCCGCCATGCGAACCCTGCCACTGGGGCCTTCGGTGGAGCTCCCTATGGGGCAACGATCCTCGTGAAGGGTGTGCCGAAATGGCCCGAGGCCGCCATGCGAACCCTGCCACTGGCGCCTTCGGTGGAGCTCCGTATGGGGCCGCGATCCTCGTGAGGGGTGTGCCGAAATGACCCGAGGCCGCAATGCGAACCCTGCCACTGGGGGCTTCGGTGGAGCCCCATATGGGGCAACGATCCTCGTGAAGGGTGTGCCGAAATGGCCCGAGGCCGCCATGCGAACCCTGCCACTGGCGCCTTCGGTGGAGCTCCGATGGAGCCACGATTTTAGAAAGGGATGTGCCGAAATGGCCCGAGGCCGCCATGCGAACCCTGCCACTGGGGCCTTCGGTGGAGCTCCGTATGGGGCCACGATCCTCGTGAGGGGTGTGCCGAGATGGCCCGAGGCCGCCATGCGAACCCTGCCACTGGCGCCGTCGGTGGAGCTCCTATATGCCACGAACCTCGTGAGTGGTGTGCCGAAATGGCCCGAGGCCGCCATGCGAACCCTGCCACTGGAGCCTTCGGTGGAGCTCCCTCTGAGGCCACGAAACGCTGCAATGGGTGGGTGAAGCGAAGGAGGGAAGGAGGAGGGGGGGGAGGGAGGGGAGGCAGCGGGAGGAGAAGCAAGGAAGGAGGATGCGGGCGCTGTCTCTTCAAAACGAGGACCCTACACCACAGGATGGTTGGGAAAATATTATAAGAATTTCGCGGATTGAGCGCGGGTCGTTTCAAAATGTCGCTCTCGCCTTAGCGCCGCGCACACTCGTTGTAAACATTGGCAAGAGTTTCACGGATTGAGGGCGGTTCCTTTTCAAAATGTGGCTCTCGCCTTAGCGCCACGCACATTCGTGGATTGGATCAATAGTTGCAAGAGTGTCATGGATTGAGGGCGGGTGGTTTTCAAAATGTGGCTCTCGCCTTAGCGCCGCGTACAGTCGTGTTAACCATTTGCAAGGAGGTTCACGGAATCCTATGATCAACGTGCAAGACATGGTGTTTTGGAAGGATTCAAGACTATGCGGGCGCAACAGTTATGTTGATTCGCGGCTTTGAAGTCCCAAGAATTCAGGATCGTCAAGACGGAGCAGTGAGGTTGATACGTGGCGTTGAAATCTAAATAAAAATGTTTTGGCACGCTTCAAGATCCTCAAACGGTTGTCTTCCAACGAGGCAGTTCCCTCAATGGAAATGAACAGTTGTATGGGGCCTATGAAGAGGGAACTTGGCGGGAGGGTTAATTCCAGAATCGTTGATGACTCTTGGTTTTTCCGCTTGTCCTACTCCTCCTCTTCCTCCTCCTCCTCCTCCTCCTCCTCCTCCTCCTCCTTCCTCTTCCTCCTCCTCCTCCTCCCTCCTCCTCCTCCTCCCTCCTCCTCCTCTTCCCTCCTCCCTCCTCCCCCTCCTCCTCCTCCCTCCTCCCCCTCCTCCTCCCGGCGCCGCCCTCCTCGCCAGTGCCGCCGAAAAGCCCCTCGGCGACGCCGTCCTCCAGGTCCGAAGCGCCGGCGCCCCCCGCGCCCTGGCCGACCACGCCGGGGTCCTGGTAGAGCAGCGGGAACGGGCACCTTGGGCGTCGCTGAACGCGACGAACCAACAACACCACACCCATACCCATAGGGGGGTCGTTGGGAGGAGGACTGGCTATGGATATGGGTGCGGGTTGTCGGACCCTGGGGAACGGTCGCGTTCGAGCGGGGACCCCCATCCGACAACACGCACCCATGGCCCTCTCTGATCCCCCTATGGGTATGGGTGTGTGTGTGTTGTTGGTTCGTCAGAACGGGGGATCAACGGAAAATCATTGGGCCAGGTGGAACGGGCACCTTGGACGATAGTTGGATGGGCGAGTTCGGGAGCCCGGAACCCAGAAACGTGTCCGTCTCCTGGGGGCACATCCTTCGCTTCCGCCGCCTTCCGCCGAACTTCCGCCGGCGGGGCCGGCCTCGTTATACTTCCGCCGGCCTCACGCGACCCTTCCGCCGCCTTCCGCCGCGGCAGAGGTGACAACCCCTTCGATCCTCGAAGGCAAGGGCCGTTTTATCAGAACGCCCCAAAGCTCGCCATCGCTCGGACGCCCATTTCCCTTGCATTCTTCGGTTTCGTGCGTGCATTTTTCGCCAAATGCTCAACAAAAATGCTCCTCAATGGTCCACGCGGAGAAAAAATGCACACGTCCGAGCGACGCCGAGTAAATGGAAGGAAGGGGGGGAGAGATGGGTGCACTCTTCGGGCCCTCGAGGCCCCCGTTCTGGGCCCTTCCGGGCACCCTCCAGGGGCCCCAGAAGGCCCCTCCTCTGCAGCCCCCCTCGCTGCCCCCCCAATGCGTCGCCCCCCCCTCCATTTCGCGCGAGGCCCACGCCATTTGGCGGCGAGCCCGTGGGGGGAGAAAAGGAGGGGCGGGCCTCCTCAGAGGGCTCAGAGAAGTCCCCAAGCATGCGGAGAAGATCTCTCCAGGCCGCCCCCGAAGGCGCAGACGACCCCGAGGCAAGCTGGAGGGCTTCTGAGAAGTACGTACCGCTGCCTTCTGAGAGAGCCTTCTCCTTCCCACGTTCCCCCTCGCACGCTGCCAACTCTCGGAGTCGGCGCCGTCTGCGGCATCGTCGTCGGAGTCAGTTGCCCGGGTCGCCGTCTCCGTCGTCGTCGGAACACGGAGGAGAGAGAGGAGAGGGAGTCGAGCTAGGTGTGATCGCACCATTTGTGACATCCTACTCCGTATTCCATAATAAAGGCGGGGGGGTCACATTTGGGTGGGGGTCTGATTTGAGCTGTCTTGGAGGGTTGGGGGGGGTCTGGGCAAAGGGCAGCCCTTTCATGGATGGTCTGGGGGGCTCTAAAACTTCTCGTCTGGGAGGGTTGGGACCCCCTCCCTTTTGTTACGAAATCTGGAGTACCGATCCAGCCCATCTTCTCCTGTTGCGCGGATTTGTCTCTGAACGCCGACGCGCGCCACAGCCGGCCTGGATTTCCCCCCAACATAAAGACCCCATCGCGTCGTGGGCAAATCGGAAAATGGAGCTGCGCACATTGGAGATGGGGTAGCGGATGGACAGGATGACGAGCAGGGGGAAGAGCAGGATGAGGAAGGAGGAGTACGAGGAGGACGAACAGCAGCAGCAGAAGCTGGAGTGGGAGAAGCGGGATGGGCGGGATGGGCGGCGACGACGACGACGAAGAAGAAAAGGAAAGGAACGGAACGACGTTCTGAACGATGTAAGTAAAGCGCCGATCCACGCTGCATCATCAGCACTGTTCTGAGGCACCAGGAACGTTCAGATTTGAAACGAGCATGAAAACAAAACAAAACAGCAAACACATCCACAGAAACAACAACAACAACAACAACCGCCACCACCACCAACAAACAACAACAACAACAACAACAACAACCACAACCACAACCACAATCACAACCACAATTGCAACCACAACAACAACACTCACAACAGCAACGCCAACACCAGCATCGACAACAAGTACTGACACGACAACAACATATGCAACAACAGCAATACGCAACAACAACAAACATAAGTTTAAAACTGTTCGCTCATACGTGTTCCCGTGTCATTCAACCCGTAAATCCCAAGCCCTCGGTACCCGCCCTCGTCGTCTTCGATCGTGCCCCCATTGGGGCATATCTTCCTTACCTGCCACGTGCAGTTAGTGCAGCCCCTCAAACAAGGGAAGAGAGAATGGGTGGAAGCGGGAGGGAGAAGAATGGAGCACGAGAGAAATCAGCAGGAAAGGGGCAAGGAGCAGAAAACAAATGGTAAAACTAGTGGGGCACATCAGGTGGGCAGACCCATAGCGGATAGGTCGGGAAGGCGGGCCCAGGCGAGCAGGTCGAGCAGACGGGTTGCTGAAGCGTGGGTCCTGGATGAATCGCGAGGAAGTCTCGAGCGACAGCGCGATTCACAAATAAATCGTGAGAAAAGCCAAAGCGAGAGCGCGATTCCTGAGCGCCGAGGGCGCATCTTCTGAAACAATTGAAGCGAAACCCCACGCGAGAGCGTGAAGCGTACATGAATTGTGCGGAAGTCCTGTGCGAGAGCGCGATTTGGGAATTGGGAATAACTTGTGAGGAATTGTCAGGCTGGAGCCGTTGTCGTCGCAAACCGGGGGCCTGGGGCGTAGTTTGAGCCCCGTGACTTTCCTGGATAAAAGACGGGGTGCGAGCCCCGGGGGAAGCGCTTCAAGTGAAAAAAACACAACGGTCACTGGAGAGGGGGGTCAACAATAATTCCTCTTTAGTAGCGAGAGTCTTACAACGACAGCAGCAGCAGCAGCAGCAGCAACAATCATTCTACGACTGTTCGCTCTTACTGGCCCGCGTGTCACTCAAAACGAATTCCCCACTGTGAGAGGGGCGATCGGGCAATGCTACCAGTCTGCTATACCCGCCCCCTGCGGGATGGCGCCTGCGTAGGGCACATGGCCGCGGGACACCCCGCAGAGACGCGTGCGCCTTGAGGGTCACGCACAGAGAGGAGTCTGCAGGTGTCGCCACCGGCCTGGCCTGGGACGTCTCCCACGCCCCCCCCCTGCGACACGCGATCACGCACGTCATCGGGTGGCGGAAGTAGCACAGGAGATGGAGCATACCTGGCCGGGCAGACCTCGCAGCGACAGCAATCCAGAAGAGGCGGTCGGAGAGAGGCGTCAAAATGTGCACCTGGGGGAGACAGAGACCACAAGATGGACGTGTGTACACGACGTCACAACGGGCACCTGAAAGCACAGTATGAACAGGATATAGATTGCGGGCTGGCCAACCACTTCGTAGGAGAAGAACAGGAAATGCACCTGGCGACGACGACCGAGAAAGGAAGCAACGCTGAGAGAGCGTCTCTCGACTGACACCTGTGCGAAAGCAGAACTAGAGGAGGGAAAGGTAAAGAGAAACAGGATGAGGAACATGTCGATATGCACCTGCGGGGAGGCAACGAGCTCGACGCGACGACCCCCCCGACGAGAGACGGCATGGCAAGAGACAAGATAAGACAATGATGAGGAGGAACGTGTCGATATGCACCTGCGGGGAGGCGCAACAATGTGAGCTCGACGCAAGTCCGCAGGGCTCAACTGCCCACAGGTCCTGGAGCACCGACAGATCGGCCCCCCCGACACGAGACGACACGATAGAATAAAAAGAAAGAGGAAGACAAGAAAGACGGAGATGCGTTGCCCCCGCCCAAAATGGGCTGCTCTTGTCGATTGGGGGCGCCGGCTCCGCCCAAAATGGGCTGCTCTTATCGACAAGAGCCGGGCTCTGGCCACCTCGAGCACCTGTTTTCGTGCTCCTTTGCAAGAGGCGCCAGTTTGCGGGGCTGCGACCCCCCCGCAGAGGTTTCTGACTTGTCCAAGGAGAAATTGGAGAGGGAGGGGGGGCCAGACCCGACTCCGAGGAGACGTGGGGAGGCGAACTCCCACGACGCCCAGAGGCTGCGGGACTGAACCCACCAGAAGAACAGAGGAGGGAGGGGCCAGACCCGACTCCGAGGAAACGTGGGGAGGCGAACTCCCACGACGCCCAGAGGCTGCGGGACTGAACCCACTAGAAGAAGAGAGGAGGAGAGGGAAAAGGGGGAAGGACCCCCCCGATGAGAGACATCCGTCTCCAAGCGCCTTCAAGAGGAGAAGAATAGGGATCTGCGCAGAGCCGCTGCGGGGTCCGCCACGAGGACTCAACCTGTAGTTGCGGATGCTGCGGGCCCTGCGCAAACGAGGGCCCGAATGTGCAGAGCAAGTCTGTGACGACCGTCACCCACAAACAAACAATCAAAAGGTCATGAGCCGGCAGCGAGCACCTTCCGGGGCCCCGCCCTTGCGCCTGCGCGCGAGGTAGTCCGTCGCGCAGGGAGAGGAAGAACGAGAGGAGTAACCTGACTTCTGGACGCTGTTCGAGCAGCGCTATTCCGAGATGTGACTTACTGTCTCTGTTTCAGAGCACTGGGAAAGTTGACATAAAGCAAATGCCCCACCACCACGGAGCCCCGTGGCATGTAAACAGGGCGCCCCCGCCGCACCGGCTACTCTTCACGATAAGGAGAACGAAATGCTTGTCCGACGCGTGGTCCGCCGCCGTCCAACATCCTGCAACCTGTCAGAGATGGGGGCGAAATCGTAAACCGAAGGAGGGGAGGCCAGCCGGCCGGTCTGGGCCCGCCCAACGCGTCACTCTGCCAGGACGTCGGGATTCCGCACACGCGCATACAGAAGCGCAAAGGAGAAAGAAGACGGGCACAAGGGAGAGACAACTGGTCGACATTGCGCGGCGCGCAGCAATCGCTCCGACATGAATGTGGGCACGGTGACAACATGCACAATCATGAGCATGAAAGGAAGAAAAGAAGGACGCATGGGTGGGAAGGGAGAAGCAATGGATGGATGGATATGGGGAAGGACAACAGAAAACGAGAAGAGGAGGGCGTCGAAGTGCACCTGCGGGGGCGCCCCGCCCCGACGCAAAACGACGTGAGAGAATGGAATAGAGAGCTGGATAATGAGGGACACATCGAGAAGTCTCAGTCGCGTTAGAAGCTCTGTGACAGCAATGTGCAGCTGC